AATTGGAATGCTCCATAACTTAATTAAATCATTTTGTTGATTTAGCATTGGCAAAGAGTATTTGCTATTGCATCTACTTAATGAAACATGAGAGCGCGTGTCTTTGGCATGTGTTGTCTCTGGGCAAAAAAGCCTCTTCCAGCTTACAGGAAACAGGAGCCACAGGTCCAAGAGCCCACTGTCCCTCAGCAGGAGCCGCATGAACCGCCTCGGTCCTCGGCCACATGTGGAGGGTCCTGCCAGGAGCTGAAGCCAGATGGGGCCATGCCTCCTGATGGCAGCATCTGTAAGGCAATTGGAAGGGAAATGTGGAAACCGAGGGTTTCAGGTCAATTCAACACAAGGAAACAAAATGCTCCCTGAAACCAAGCACCAGGGTTTCGTTTGAAAACACAGAAACAAAACAGCCTTTCAAGGGGGGTTTGAAAGGAGTTTCCACTCCTTAAAAATTAAAAGGCAGCAGCTTTGACTTTCTGTCCCACTTTGAGACACAGCGCAGCAGAAGGTCTGCCAAGCTCTGCGGGGCCCTCACGAGTCCCAGCTCCTCCGAGGAGCTGCAGGAGAATTTGATGACCCAGGACAGGAGGGTGAAGAATGTCAACAAAGGCTTTTCCTTAAAGTTAAAATGCTCTGTCCTGGTCAAGAGAGGGCTATAAGAGCTTAGAAGGAGAAGAGCTAAAGATAAGCATTTCTGGGAAATAACACATATCTCTGGACCTTGGATGTTTTCCCAATGCTCTGGAGAAGGAAATCTCCTCAAAAATGTAAATTCATAATAGCTTTTGCAAACAGTACATGCTTCCCGTTCAAAACCCTTGTCTAAAGACAAATCTCCAACTAAACCCTGGTGATAGTATGGACATGGGAGTCTCCAGTAGCATTTAGTGCTGCTGTTTTAGAGGACTGACACCAGCTGGATGCTCCTGGAGCTGCACTCCTCATCCACCTGTCCCTCTGTCTTGTGAGGTGTGGGCTGCTTCTGGCTCTCGGCATGCTGTGTCCTGTCTGCTCACAGCCATTATGCTCTGGTCACCAAGGTCCCTGTTTGCGATACAAGGGCAAGCAAGTTCCTAATCCACCAATTCCTGAACATCGGACATGATTTGGAAAGCAGTCTCTATTTGGGACAGCTCTGAAGCATGTCTGTCGATGCTTTTCTGTACTATTGCCTGCTAAAATATCTGACCAGAGGAGCACATTAAGCAGAAGAGCACAACAATGTATGACCTGACACCAACACGTGTCCCCAGGCACCAGGAAGCTGCAGCAGAGCTGCCTCTGGGCTACAGCTTGGCTGGGACTGTGAGCTGGGATGGGCCAGGAGGTGGACCTGGAGGCACCCACCTGCTGAGCCTCTCTCTGCTCCATGGGTAGTGAGCATTGGGCTCACGGGGGTCTCATCCCACTGTGAGAGCCCTTGAGACTTTTGCTGTCAGGAACAACATGCTTCATCTTCCCAAATGGACCCATGGGCTTCCTCAGGGCTTATCCAGGCCAATACTTGCTGCAGGATTTTGCCAAAAGTCGATGAGATCTTTGGGAGACCCCTTCAAAGCAGATGTAGCCAAGCAAACTAAGGGAAAAGGAAATTCCTCTACGTGCACCTGGGTACCTTGCACCCCTGGAGCACTGTGAAAGCGGATATTTCCGGGG